TTGGGGGATTTTAAACTGAAGAAAACCTTGAGTTTCTTTGTAAATGAATTCTTGACTAATGCATTGTCTACTTGTACAACAGTTTTTTCCATCTCTCTGAGAAATTTACAGAATAAGTAATGTCTCTTTTGAGACTTTGAGATGTTGTCCCTGTCCTGACATGGTCCTGTGTAGATTCTTTGTACTCAGGGGATGGGTGTACTGGAGATCAGAGAAGGTCTTTTCTTGGCCTCGTGGTGGATTAAGAGTGGGCATTCATTGCCCACCACTGTCACAGCCCTCTAGGACACTTGGCTACATCTGTTTGTGGCTGCTGTGTCTCCCATGTTTTCTTGTGAGTACTTCCTGTTTATGCTGTGTCTTCCATATTTTCCTGGTGGATACTTCCTTCCTGTTTCTGCTGTCTCTTCTATGTTTCTCTGGTGGATACTTCCTTCCTGTTTCTGCTGTGTCTTCCATGTTTTCCTGGTGGATACTTCCTGTTGCTGCTGTGTCTTCCATGTTTCTCTGGGGATACTTCCTTCCTGTTGCTGCTGTGTCTTCCATGGTTTCCTGGTGGATACTTCCTTCCTGTTGCTGCTGTGTTTTCCATGGTTTCCTGGGGGATACTTCCTTCCTGTTGCTGCTGTGTCTTCCATGGTTTCCTGGGGGATACTTCCTTCCTGTTGCTGCTGTGTTTTCCATGGTTTCATGGGGGATACTTCCTTCCTGTTTCTTCTGTGTCTTCCATGTTTCTCTGGGGATACTTCCTTCCTGTTGCTGCTGTGTCTTCCATGGTTTCCTGGTGGATACTTCCTTCCTGTTGCTGCTGTGTTTTCCATGGTTTCATGGGGGATACTTCCTTCCTGTTTCTGCTGTGTCTTCCATGTTTCTCTGGGGATACTTCCTTCCTGTTGCTGCTGTGTCTTCCATGTTTCCCTGGTGGATACTTCCTTCCTGTTTCTGCTGTGTCTTCCATGTTTCCCTGGTGGATACTTCCTTCCTGTTGCTGCTGTGTCTTCCATGGTTTCCTGGTGGATACTTCCTTCCTGTTGCTGCTGTGTCTTCCATGGTTTCCTGGTGGATACTTCCTTCCTGTTGCTGCTGTGTCTTCCATGTTTCTCTGGGGATACTTCCTTCCTGTTGCTGTTGTGTCTTCTATGCATTCTTTCCACTCACCCACCTGTTCTCCATTTCCTTTGTTATGTTTGCTACATTTTGTTACACTTCCCCTCTTGTTTGTCTCCTACTGAGTTCCAGTTCCACCTTCTCCAGGTGCCCATCAAGAAACTGGATTTTCCTTTATATTCCAGTTTAAGCAGGATACCAAATGCCTCAACTGCCCCGTTTTATGTGGACTTTGTAACTACTTCAGTTACAGGGCTTTTCCTCTCTGTCTCTTCCAACCTTTGTCAGTCTTTGGTACTATCTTATATACTTAGTCTCTAGTTTAAAAATGGCTCAATACACTTTTGTCAAATGAATTGACAGAGGACGTTAGGATCTAAAATGAAAGAAAAGACCCTTTTCAGTCGAGTAAAGAGAAAATAAAATGTGCCAGTCAAGAAATAGTGTTTGTCTTTGTTCTTAACATAGAATGATTTTTTTCCCTTTGTAGACTCCAAAGAAATGTCACTGCAGCTTGCTTAATTTCACCACTCCTTCTGCCTCTGCTGTACTGAGAAGAGATGGATGGATATACCGTCCTTAGTGTCTGCAGAGCCTACTGTGAGCTCTGTGGGCCATTTGAAGAGCTGGCTTCAACGCTGTGCCACCCATGTCTTGATTGAAGCCTCTCTTTCCTTGTCATCCAAATGGCATATATTTACCTTTGTTTTGTTTGTTTTTGTTTTGTTTTGTTTTTGTTTTTTTGAGACAGGCTTTCTCTGTATTGTTCTGGAGGCTCTCCTGGAATTCGCTCTGTAGACCAGGTTGGCCTCGAACTCACAGAGATCCGCCTGCCTCTGCCTCCCGAGTGCTGAGATTAAAGGCGTGCACCACAAACGCCCGGCTTTATATTTACCATCCTTAAGATAAAACTGTGCATTTTGATTTTTCTAACATTAGCCCATCTTTCAGGCTTGTTCTCTGGTAGAATGCTAATAGTAAAGGATTTGGTGAGGGGCCAAGTGGGACCTAAAAAAAAAAAAAAGTTTGATAAGCATATGGTTTTCTCATCTGTTTCCATGGGAAAACTCTGGCAAAGGAAGTTTGTTTTGATTGTTTGAGGTTAAGTCCATCATGGCAGAAAAGTCAAAGCATCGGGAGGTTGAAGCAGCTGGTCATGCCACAGTCACAACCAAACACTGTTGCTGCTCAGCCTCCTTCTCCACTGTAGTCCAGGACTGTAACCAGGGAATTAGTGAACCCCGTTTTAAAAATATAGTCCGGTGAAATATTTTCATTATTTTGATCGCCTAATAAAATTTAACCTTTAAAGGTATGCGTAGACACTGTGATTATAGAGACAAACAAAAACAAGTTTCTAAATAATCATAAGAAAGAAAAGCAGTCACAATGCAGACTTCTCATACTTTCAAGAGTGCTTAAATATTACGGCAGGTTTTTATCTCTGAAGCTCTTTTGTGAACAAGGGAAGGCCACTCTCATACCCTAAGGAAGCTAACACCTAGAGAGCTTAAAGGCTTACCTACTCCTTAAATGTAAAGGTACTAAGTGACTACCTTGGATCTAGAAATGGAAGGTACAATGTTGGCTCATTTATCTGACTTTATTTTGAGGGCAATGAGACAGATTTATACATGAAGATAGTTGTTAACATTAGTTATGATGGAAACACAGATGATGTAAACATCTCGGAGGTTTCATCAGATAGGGCTCCGTGGGAGGTTATTTTTAAAACAATCTCATTGACGAGTGACTGGAGGTATTTTGCAGAAGAATGGGAATAAAGTGAGGAGGAGAGACTTGCGATATAAGAGAATGAATTTAAGTATTGACCTTAAGTTATGAAAAAAGCCGTGAATTTGAAGAGTAGTGTAAAAATTGAATGGAGCTATTGCATTCTTGACTAAAATAAGGCTAGATATGACATTTCATTTTTTCTAAATGATACATCAAGGATTGAAGACAGCTGAGTGAAGTTAATCAATATTTTAAGTAATCCAGTGTAGCTGGAATACTTCTGTTCTCCGTTTACATTTTACACCTGTAAAATAAAAACATCTTAGCTTGTACTAGGTACATTTCAAATACAGCATGTCTACAGGATGAGAAATATACTTATATATGGGGCAAAGAGAAGGAGGGAAGGGGAGTAAGATGGACAGAGAGAGATAAAGGGATGAAGAATGGTTAATTTAAAGAGGTCGTTGGTGCCATCTTTAAAAGTTATTATTTGTCAGTTGAATTTGAGATATATCTGTATGACAGTTTATACTTCTGAGGCCTGTGGTACCAGAATAGCTTTTAGATTTTTGGATGTTTTGCAAACTAATGCCTTTGTAAAATAAGGTAATGATGAATTAGACAAAGAAAAGGAAATTAAAAAACACTTTTTTTGGTGAGATTTGAGAAACTTTGTCTTTGTCTATTTTGTGATTTGTAACACAATGCCACAGACTACGTAATTAGTAGTAAACAGAAATTTGCAGCCTCACTGGTTTGGATGCTGGGAAATCTGATAGAGCGTTTTCTTTTCGTGTGACAGCATGATACAAGGCAGAAGGACAGTGAGAGAAACAAAAGAGAAGATTATAAAGAGCCTACTCCTGTGATGACAACATCAGCTCATTCAGGAGGGTTCGTTAAATGGGACTTGAAGACCTAAACTTAAAGATCTCACTACCCAATAACTCTACTGATGCCAATAAATGTTGATACGTCCTTTGGAAGGGGCAGTCAAGCGCACAGTTTAAAGTGTCTGACTCGATGTTACCCAAGCTTTCGGCCATGAGAGTAGTTCTGTTTGAGCTGTGTGGTGTGGAAGCCACTAGTCACATGTGCCTACTAAGTACTTGATAAAAAAAGTTTTGGAATGACTACAGAATTAAATTTTAAATTTTATTTAATGTTAGTTAAGTTAAAGTGAACACATGGGACTCTTGGATCCTTAACTGAACAGCTCTGGAATACACTTATGTCTCAGTCTCCATGCTACTCTTATGGACCTAAACTCCCTGCAATACTAAGCACTCTTTAGCATAGAACGTAGAACTGGAAAAACTTTATGTATTCCCAGTTTCTTAATCTCTCTGTGCTGATGCACCAGCTCCTTGCTTATAAAAACAAGGACCTTAAGAGTTGGCCTCCTGAAGTGAAGGCCGCTGTGAGGATTAAACGGGATAACAAGAACATTGAACGTCGAACAGTGTCTGATGCATAGCAATCATGACAAAAATCACATTGGGTTGTTTTTAATTATTACTGTGTCGGTGACGGGTATCACAACGCTCAAGACTCTGCAAAAATCCCCCTCTCTGTTCCTGCATTTGTTTTAGCTCTCTGCTTCTAAAAGCGTATCGCGCTTCCTGGAATATAGCTGAGTAAATATTGTTGGAAAGAACTCGGGCATTTTTAGTGGAAACAGGATTAGGAAAAGTACTGGGGGGGGGAGGGAAATGGCACCCGAGATGACCTCGAAGGTCAGGTTGTGATGGCAATGAAGAAATAGCTCATCGGGCAGAGGGAAGATGGACACCCAGGTGAACGGTGCTACATTAAGAGGGAGGTACAGCTCCCTCCTCCCTCTCTCTCTTTGTGTCATCTGTCTGTCTGTCTGTCTGTCTGTCTGTCTTTTAATAACAAGATCCCTAGGTAATGAGTGACTAGTAACAAGATCCCTATAGGCCCAATGCATACTGCCCTGTTAATAAGGCCAATCATTGTTCTTCAGCTTGTCTATTCCTGGGAACTCTATTGCTTGAATATGGTGGGGGTCGTTGGGTGGTGGTTGGAAAAGGAAGAGGGATGCTGCTTGAAAAGCAGGCCATGCACTGTGGGCAGATGCCCGTGAGATTCTTTCTTTCCCCCAAAACACGTTTCTTATTTACTTCTCGCAGGAAGGAAAAAAAATTAATCAACTGGGAACAATGAAGTCCCTCTCCTTCATGCTTGCTGGTGTCATCCACCTTTTATCCCTGGGCTCTGGAAAAGCCATATGCAAGGATGACATTCCTCAGAGAACATTTCAAGAAATAAAAAAAGAAATAGCCAGCTATGAAGATGTCGCTAAAGCAATTATCAACCTTGCTGTTTATGGTAAACACCAGAACCGGTCCTATGAGCGCTTGGGACTTCTAGTCGACACTGTCGGGCCCAGGATGAGTGGGTCTAAGAGCCTAGAGAAAGCTATCCAAATCATGTACCAGAACCTACAGGACGATGGTCTGGAGAATGTCCACCTGGAGCCGGTCAAAATACCCCACTGGGAGAGGGGAGAAGAATCTGCGTTGATGTTGCTGCCGAGAATTCACAAGATGTCTATTCTGGGTCTTGGCAGCAGTGTTGGGACTCCCCCAGGAGGTACTCTTTGTTTTTTTCTGTTGTTATTTTTTTCAATCGGCTATGCTCTTTAATCCAACCCCCACTTCTTTCTCACATTCTTTTTCTCACCCTCTTTGCCTTGTTTTGACACAGGGATTTCATGAAACCTGGGCTAGTCTTGAATTCACTATGTATTCAAGGGTGACTTTGAACTTCTTCTTTTTCCGCCTCCTGAGTGCTGGGGTTACAGGTGTGTCCCCACACCCGGTTCCTGTGATGCTAAGGCTCCATGCTTGCTGAGCAAACACTCTTCTAACCGCACTCCACCCCACAGTTCCGCTCTCCCGTAATCTTCTTATCCAACTGATGTCCACTGGCACGACTGTATATGATATACATAGTTTCTACTGTGAGAAAATGTAATCATTTCCCACTTGACTTCCTTAGTGAGTTCTCAAATCATATTGTTTCTTCCGACTTCCTTCTTCCTTTGTTTCTATGTCTTCTGTTCTCTTCAGGAGGACTGATGACCAAAGGGGTTAAGACTGGTCTGGTTTAACCTCCAGAAACAGCTGACCTGACAAGGGTTAGCTCTTGAATCCCAGACTGATGCATGGGAATCCAGCATGGGACTGATCAAGACCCCCTGAATGTGGGTGTCAGTGAGGAGGCCTAGGTAATCTGAGCCTTGGGTAGTAGATCAGTATTTATCCCGGGTATACAAATGGACTTTGGACTCCCATCCAACAATGTGAGATGAACTCTCACCCTGAACTCTTGTGGAGAGGGTCTAGGCCCTGCCCTGGATGAAATGACAGACTATGGACACCCCCATGGAGGGCCTCACCCTCCCTGGGGAAATGAGGGGATATTGGTGGGAGGGCATGGGAGGAAGGGAGGGAAAGGGAGCGGGACCTGGAATTGACATGTGAAGCAACCTTGTTTCTAATTTAAACTTAAATTTAAAAATACAAAAATAAAATATAAAATAAAAAAGGAAGAGAAACTATGCTGGGTGACTTTTTAGATAAGCTACTATCAGCACGCTGGCTTTAGCTTTATCTGGCGATATAATGCCTGAATATGGAATATATAGTCAGTTAGCAGTTACCTACTATTGTAATTTTTAAAATGTGGCCATTGCAACGAAAATTCAAGTGGAGAGTTTTTTTAGTTAAGGGAAAGGGGAGGGGGAGGCCTGCCTCTGGTGACAGGAGGAGTAGGAGAGAAAAAAGACAGGCAGAGAGAGAGAGAGAGGAACAGGCAGACAGAGAGAGGAGAGCAAGAAAAGAGAGAGAGGGATGGGAGGTGGGCAGGGCCCTTTTAAAAGGGAACACAGTGAATAGGCACAGGTGGCGCTCTTAGTGGCAGCAGCTGAGGGCGTATCCTGTCAGAACTCCAAAGGCAGGCCGGTACAAACGCCTGAATACTAACACCTACCCATAAAACTTGAATGTATTTATGGATTAATTTCCTATGGCAGAGAAAGTATTTTGTATTCTTTTGACTTTCTTTTATGCCGAGACCCAGGAGAAACATAGTCAGTTTATTTAAAAATCTTTATTGAAAAAGATTCATGTACTATAACATCTACCCATTAGAAACATAGCATAGTGACTTCTGGCACATTCACAGAATTGTTCAGTCTAATTCTAGAACATTTGGATTGTAGGACACAATCTGGTTGTTGAACATTTAATCTCTCCCGCCCCCAGACCTCATAACTAGTAGCAGCTGCATTTACCCCTCTAACCCTGCTCCCTAAGACCTAACATGCAGCTAATCTGCCTTCTGTCTTTGTGGACTTTCTGGACATACCACATGGCTGGAATAATGCACCCTGTGTTCTTTTGTGGCTGGTGTCTTTCATTCAGAATCACGTTTTCCAGGTCATCTATGTTGTGGCACACCTAAGTGCTTGGCTTTGTTGGTGAAAGGGTGTTTTATTGTCATTGTCTTTATCAGTCAGTGAACCTTTAGGCTGTATAATGCCACTCTATGCATTTATACACAAGCTTGTGTGGATAGGTTGTCCGTTGGGTAACTCTAGATTTAATTTCTTGAGGTTCGGCCAAACTGTTTGCTGAAATTTGTACCTTGTTTTTAAACCTGATATATCTATGTTTTCTTTATTTTATTTTATTTAAAAACAATCTTGTTTTATATAATAATCCCAGGTCCATCTCCCTCCTGCCCTCCCATGCCCTGCACCAACTCCCTATCTTACCCCCACCCCCTTCCACTCCCCAGGAAGGGTGAGGCCTTCCATGGGAGATGGTCAAAGTCTGTCACATCATTTGGGGCAGGTCCTAGACCCTCTCCTACGTATCCAGGCTGAGAGAGTATCCCTCCCTAGAGAATGGGCTCCCAAAGTCCATTCACTAGGGATAAATACAGGTTCCACTGCCAGAGGCTCTACGACTGCCCTGGTTTCCCAACTGACACCCACGTTCAGGGGTCCTGGTTCAGACCTATGCTGGTTCCCCGGCTGTCAGACTGGGGTCCTCATCAGCTGTTTCTTTGGGTTTCCCCAGCAGCATGGTCTTGACCCCTTTGCTCAAAATTTGTACCCTTCCGTATTATCACTAATGATGTACAAATTTTCTCATATGCTTGCAAACACTTGCATCTGTCTTTTTTTTGTTACAGCTCCTTACAAGTGTCTCACTGCGGTCCTGCTTCAAATTTTGTTAGTGGCCAGTGATACTGAGCATCCTTCCATGCTTTTTATCATTGCCTTTCATCGATTAATTAAATTATTTGTTGTTTGTATGTGTGCATGCAAGTGTGTGTGTGTGCATACAAGTGTATGCAAGTGACCGTGTGTGCATGTGTGTGAATGCACCTGTGCATGTGCATTCCTGCGTGTGCATTCCGTATGGCACACATGGAGGTGTGGAGGACAGGGGACTACTTCTGAAGTTCTCTCCTCCCACCATGCTGGTCTTGAGAATCACAATCTGCGTATGGCTCATTTCTTTCCATCTTCCACGCCATGCCAGAGCTCAGGACCTAACATATGCTGCACCAGGGTTACAGATTCCTTTTAGCTGACACGCCCAACTTGCTTCCTTGTAATCGATTTCCCATGCTATTGCTTTCATTGTCTCTCTGCAAAATATGGACCGCACCTTTTGGGACCATTCCATTGTTCAGGGTTAGAGTTCAGATTATGACCTGTGTTCAAGTGTTTGAGAACTCATTCGCGCTTAAACTTGCTTTTGGGCTATGTGATTTTTTTCCCCCTAGTGTTTCTATACATCTGTTGTGTCCAGAGACTGAGGAGGTTTGATTTGCAGTTGGGTGGCAGGGGTTCATCAGTGTGCTACTGCAGTGGCATTATTGCATTCCCAGGACAGGGTCAGATGGTGGTGACGGCACAGGGGGCCAGATGAGGAGCACTGGTAAGTAAGATGGGCACAGGAGACATGGAGTAATCCTGTCTGGTAATCCCACAAGCTTTCAGAGAAATGACACTCAAGGAAGAAGGACACACTTGGAACAAATTTTGTTGTTGTTGCTGCTGCTGCTGGTTTGTCTGTTAGACGGGGAACGAGAAAACCGAACACGAGGGAGTGTGAGCATGTAAGACGTGCTTGGCTGCTGGGCGTTGGTGGTGCACGCCTTTAATCTCAGCACTCGGGAGGCAGAGGCAGGCGGATCTCTGTGAGTTCGAGACCAGCCTGGACTACCAAGCGAGTTCCAGGACAGCCTCCAAAAAACCCTGTCTCGAAAAACCAAAAAAAAACAAAAACAAAAACAAAAACAAAAAACAAACAAACAAACAAACAAAAAAGACCTGCTTGTCTAATGACTGAAGAGCCAGTTCTTACTGAGGGGCCATGGGTGATTAGTGACAGGTCCCAAAGGTACAAAAGTAGACTATAAAACTACTAAGGCCGTCACATATATTGGAGAGCTAGGAACTAAGAGTTTTGAGTTTTAATCTTTACTATTATGACTAGGATAATATAAAAAATTTTAATTACCTTAGTTTCTATGTTGTTTATTACTAAAGATTCTGATTTCCCAGAAATTTTTCAGTAAGATATCTTGAAAATCTGACAAATGAAATAGCAGTTCATATTCTCTTGCTCACATAGGCATAAGTTAAATAGTTTTTATCTTACCATCATGGGAAAATGTGGATCTCATTGCCCATTAATAGTTACTCTCCTTTATGTTACTCCTTTCATAAGCAATCCGTCCAAATGACTTTAAAGCTAATAGGGCTTTTTGTTGTAGAACAAATTATTTATGTATTTATAAAAATCTAGCTTGCTACATTGTCCTGCTTTTGAACCTTACATTTCAAGTACTTTTTTGTGTGTGTGCTTCATTTGAGGGAAATTACTACAAAACTCTCAGTGCTTTGTTGTCTGAGAAGATCTTAGAACAGAACACTCATCCTTCCGGCTGAAGTATGGCTGAATTTTCAGCCCTGAAAGCATTTATTAAACACCCATTTGTGACCATGTCTGGCCTGAATAAAAAGTGGCTGGTGACATCCCATATAGTCTTTACAAATAATGCTCCCTGGTCATAAAAATAATATTTAACTTCAAATGTAAAACTTCGAAAAAATGATGCACCAGGAAAATAAGATAACATGACATCCTCTTGCCCAGAGATGACAGTGCTGGCCCTGTTTGAACATACACACTTTAATTTCTTCGGTGTGTTTGTTCACGTCCATTTATAACGTAGTGTGAACTTGCCCATCTCTTTAATGAGATCCGAGTATGATAGTTCAGAACTTGAACTTGAATCCAAATCCAGTCATTACAGTGTGCTGCCAGCTCCCTTCACTTCAGAACTCTGTTCTGTGTTCTGAGAAATGGGGACAGCGATGTCTACCTTGTTGCGACCACAGAAAACTGAGAGGGCGCGTTGGCTCTAGCCTTCTCGCCAAGTTACGCACAGTCCACGCTGTCACACTCACTGCCGCTCGTTGTTGAGTCTTCAAGTTTAGTTTCATTACAGCAAGAATCGGAGCCAGACTCTCCCACGGTAGGTTGCCTCGAGCAGAAACTGTCCCG